GCTCCGCCGCGCCCCCTCCCCCGGCCCGTACCCACCTGTCCGCCCCGGGCGGGCTCCGCGGCGGCGGCCGCGCGCTCGGGGGCCGCGGGCGGGGCGGGCGGGCGCCGGATGGCGGCGGATTCCGCTGCCCCCCCCCTCCCTCCGACACGGCCCGCGGGGCCTCCGCGCATGCGCCGCGCACCTCGGGCCGCGCCGCGCGGGGGGCGGGGCCGCCCAAGGACGCGCCGCCATTGGCTGCCGGCGCCGCGCGGGCGAGACCATTGCGGGGGGAGGGGAGGGCGGGAAAAACGGGCCGCGCTCGCGTCCTGAGCGCCTCACCCCCACTCGGATCAATGGGGCGCCCCCGCCCGCCGAGTGGAGCAGCCCCGGCGGTGACGTCATCTGGCGGTGCCGGTGTGGCGACAGCGCCCCCCGGCGACCGGAAGGGGCCGGCGGCGCTCGCTGCCATGGCAACGGGAGCCCCGCCCCCTCGCCGGGGGGAAACGGGGACACTGGGAGGGACTGGGAGGGACTGGGAGGGACTGGGAAGCACCGGGGACAGCCCGGAGTCCGCGCTTCCCCCGCGGCCGCCGCCGGGGGTGGGGAGATTCCCCGCAAAAGAAAAAAACCCGGGCTCCAAATTCCACCCAAATTCCGTTTTATTGGGACTTTCCACAATCAATTATTTTATTGGGACTTTCCACAATAAATTATACAGGCAGTCAATAAATTACCGGCCCCGCCGCAGAACTGGCGGGATTTTGGCCGTCAGTGTGCCATAAATATGAAAAGCTTTACAAAAAAAGTGATATTAACGTATATAAAACTATAAAGTCTACAATAGTACAATAAACTTCATAAATAATACAATAAATTAAATTTAAACAACAAACTAGCGGCTTTTCCCAGCCGCTTGGGTCTGTGTTCGCTTATCTCAGTTGTTGTCTCTGGTCTCAGCTCCACCCATCCCCGGTCACTGTGATCCCAAACAATCCCGAATCCATCCACGCCTCACTGGCCCCAAATCCACCCGTTCATCCCTGGCCCCAAACCCGACAATTCCTGACCCCAAATCCATCCATCCCTGACCCCAAATCCGACAATTCCTGACCCCAAATCCATCCATCCCTGACCCCAAATCCGACAATTCCTGACCCCAAATCCATCCATCCCTGACCAAAATCCCTCCACCCTAAACAACCCCAATTTAACCGAGCCCTGATCGCTCCCAAATCCCTCCAGCCCTGATCGATTCCAATTCCTCCCAGCCCCACCCCCCCCAAATCCACCCCCAGCCCCCCCAAATCCACCCCCTGTACCCCCTAATCCACCCCCAGCCGCCCCTAATCCATCTGAAACACCTCAAACACCCCCTATTCCACCTCAAACACCCCCTAATCGACCCCCAGCCCCCCCTAATCCACTCCCAGCCCCCCTAATCCACCCGCAGCAGCCCCTAATCCATCTGAAACATCCCCAAACACCCCCTAATCCACCCCTAGCCCCCCTAATCCACCCCCAGCACCCCGAAATAGGCCTGTCCCCCTCCGTGCAGGTCCAGGAAGGGCCCTGCCGAGGTGGTGGCGGCCAGCTGGTCTCCGCGGCGCAGCTGGAACACGGCGCCCTGGTACAGAGACTCCACCCAGAGGCCGGCGCGGGCCCCGTCCCGGCACACGGAGCGGGCGGCGCGGAGCAGCGGAACGTCCCGGGGGTACTCGGGGGACAGGCGGGACACGGCCAAGCGCAGCGGCCGCCGCGGGGCCCGGGCCGGGCACCGGGAGCCCTGGAAAGCGGCGGCGGCGTAGACGAAGTAGAGCCCGTCCCGCGGAACCACCAGGCGGTTCCGGCGCAGGCGGACCCCGTTCCGAACCAGGGCGGGGGCGACGTCGGCTTCCCACACCAGGGAGCCCCGGGGGGACGGCCAGGAGGAGGCTGGGGGGGAAAAAATGGGGTTAGAAACCCAAAAATATCCAAAAATATCCAAAAATATGGATATAAACCCAAAAATCCACACCAGGGAGCCCCGGGGGGACAGCCAGGAGGAGGCTGGGGGGGAAAAAATGGGGTTAGAAACCCAAAAATATCCAAAAATATCGATATAAACCCAGAAATCCACACCAGGGAGCCCCGGGGGGACGGCCACGAGGAAGCTGGGGTGGCAAACGGGGTTAGGAAAGCAAAAATATTGAAATAAGCACAAAAATTCCAGAACAAACCTAAAAATACCCCCCAAAAAATCCCCAAATCCCTGCTCCCCACAGCAGGGAGCCCCCAGGATGAGGCTGAGGGGGAACAAAGAGGGGTCAGGATCCCAAAAATAAACCCCAAATCTATAAATAAAGTAACACACAAATAAAATAATAATAATTTAAAAAAAAATGGAGTAAATCCCAAAGGCTCCGGGCTCTGCTGTCCCCTCCCCGTGTCCCTCACAGTCCCCTGAGCCCTCCCAGTATCCCCAGTATCCCCCAGTATCCCCAGTGTCCCCACTCACCCACGACATGAGCTGCTGGTTTGTCCCCTCTCGTCACCCGTGGCAGCTCCGGGAGGGCCCCTGGGGACACACGGGGGGCGTTGGGACATTGGGGGGGACCCCAGGAGGGGGTGGGGACCCCAAAGGGGGCA